GCTGGAGCATTTATAGTTGATGTAATTATTTGTGTATTCATTTAAATCTACCACCTTTCTAGATATTTTCTGTTTATTCCATTTCTTCTTTGTTCCTTCTTCCTGTGCTTTTCCCAGATGAGTCATTGTTCCCATATCATTGCTCCCTGAAGGAGCTTGTCATTTCTTGGATTTATGGCTATTTGTTTGCCCTGTGAACTTAGTGTTCTGGGTTAAAGGAAAGTTATACTTTTGTCATTTATAAGACACTTTCTTATTTTTAGAATAGGATTAATGCTCTTTGTAGCTTTCTATGTCCTAGGTAGAAGTGGAACTCATCTTCATTCTTGAAGGCTGTTTTTCTGGATATGGAATTCTCGGTAGATAGCTTTTTCTTTTATTATTTTAAAACTGTTGTTCCATTGTCTTTTAGCCTCTCTTATTTCTGATGCAATCTTTGAGATCCTTCAAGTTATTACTCCCCCCATATGAATGTGTCATTTTTCTCTGGCTGCTTAGAAAACTGTCTCTTTATCTTTGGTTTTTAACAGTTTGACTGTAATGTTTCAAAATATGCTGTTTATTTTTCGTATATTTTTCTTGAAGTTCACTGAACTTCTTGAACTAAAAATTTATATCTTTAGCTAAAATTGAGGAATTTTCAGCCATTATTTCTTCAAATAACCTCTCTAGACCATTCTCTCATTACTCCAATTGTATTATTTATCTGTAGTGCTAGATGTTGGGAACTTGGTAAATATTTAAATGACAAATAACAAGTAAACTTGGCATACATTTTTCTTAGCTGTACGGAATATATCCTTGTTGAGAAAAGTTATTCTATGTAAGAACACTTAATGAATAATTGCTATTTTTCCATTAAAATTTGCCATTAGAAAAGAAAAAACATAGATTTCTCAAAAAACAGCACACCACTTCTCTTTTAAAATAAAATTTTAATTCGATTTTTTTAACATTGACTTAAAATCTATTAGTGTTAAAGTACTTTGAAGGACACTGTTTTTGTATGAAAGGGGAGGATAATTAAATAAGACAGACAATTCTAACAACACTTGTCTGAAAACAGATTTTTTAAAAAAGACAGATAGCTCATGCTCCCTGCTATCCAAGAATCTAAAATCTAGTTGGGTATACAGACAGATGTAAATAACTTTAATAGAAAGCAAACAATGTTAAGTGCTATATTGAAATTAGAACAAACTATTATGTGAGAACACATGGACACAGAGAGGGGAACAACACACACTGGGGCCTATTGGATGGTGGAAGGTGGGAGGAGATAGGGGTTCAGGAAAAATAACTAACGAATACTAGGCTTCATACCTAAGTGATGAAACAATGTGTATAACAAACACTCATGACTCAAGTTTATTTGTGTAACAAACCTGCTTATGTACCCTGAACTTAAAATTAATATTAAAATAAAACTGTCAAGATCACAGTAAATAGAAAGCAATGCAATCAGCTCAAGATTTCAAGAGAATTTTTTGGTAAAGGTAGGATATATACTGGCCTTAGAAGGAAGTAAAGAGCTTAATAGGTATATATTGTAGGAAAATTCATAGGAAAATTTGGAAAATTTTAGGCCGTGTTTAGGAAAGAGTAGCATGGCTTAATGATAAGGCCTAGAACTTTGAAAGCACAAAGATATGTATGACTATGTTCAACAAGCTAAACCTCCCTCAGCCTTAGTTTCATAACCAGAAAAATGAAAATGTTGAATAGAGTTCAAATTGTGGAGACTCTTATGAAACAGGTTAATAGAGGCCTGTAGACTGTAGTTAGGGAAGCCTGGTAGTTGGCTGTAGTAATAATAAAGTAAAAGGTATTGGCAATAGGACTGAACCCAAAAGCAAAAGACTGTGTTTTCTGTTCCAAGCATAGACTGGAAAAAGATGAAAAAGAGGAAACAAATATAAAGAATTTGGCCATTGATTCTATAGATGAAGGAAAAAATGAAATCCAGGAAGTTTAATAGAAACAGCTAGAACCAATTTGATGAAACAACTCTAAAACTATTGTAAAGTAGATTATATATGGTATATACACACTGTTTATTTTTCTGATATAAAGAGAATTATTTAAAATATATTTTAAAACAATCATAAACTAATTTAACTGGTAATAGAACTTGAAAGATGCTGCCAAAGAATTTTCAAAGTTTGCTGATTTTTTTCAATTAAAGCTCAAAGACCTTTCTCCATAATTTTGCTTAAAAGAATTTTTATATTTTCCTTTTATTGTTTATTGAGGTCTTATTAACATATACTTCATGTTTTTCCCATATATTACATCTTTTTTATCTCAACAATCCACTCATTAACACCTCCTTAATACTTCATTAAAATGTTTTATCCAAATAATACTATTAGGTTTTTTAATTTGTTTGTTTGTTTTGGATAGTGGGGAAATACAGAAAGGAAAATATACCTAGGGTTCATAAGCCTAGAAACTCTTACTAAATGCAAACAAGGTGGCATTCATAGTTAAACTTAACTATGTAACTGTGACTACAAGAGCCTATAACCTAAAAATTGTGTGTTGAACTTCATTTATGTCTTTTGTGTTTATTAGCATTAATAACAATAATTCACTAATGTGTATCTGCTAGATACAAAACACCTTGCTAAGCATAACATACACATTATCTCACTTAATTTTCATGCAACCATATGCGATACTCTATCCCTAGATTAAAGGAATTAAAGTTCAGAAAAGGTTATGTGCTTGCACTTGCATAACTAGTGAATGGCAGGGTCTATATCTGAGCCTAGGATCACCTGACTCCCAAGCTCATGTGCTTTCTACTATACCACATTGCCTCTCCTAGGGAAAAGAAGGGCAAGGAGGAAAGAATATCTAAAAATGAACTGAGTCCTTTCTAACTGCCAAACTATTCCAAGTACTTTTACACACACTAATTGAATTTTCCCAACAGTCGTAGGAGGGAGGTTTCTTGTTATCCCCATCTAGTATATGAGTAAACCAGAAAAGGTACCCAAATCTTCCACATGGCATTCAACAATTCTACAACCAAAATGACATGCATAACAATTGAGAACTTTGAGCCAAATCACATCATTTGATGGTCAATGGGAACATCTTCCTAGTCCCTAAATATCTTTGCCAAGGATTTCCCCTGCCAAAACAAAAATAATTCTGGGGGTGAGAACACAATAAACTTCATTATCCAACTGCACTACAGTGAAACTGAATGACCATCTGGGTTCAGGGGAGGTGGTTTTAATGAGAAGAGAACTAGCAAGCCAAAGGCATCCAAGAAGAAGGGATCACAGCACACTGGGAGGAAGAAGAAAGGAGTTACTTGTGAGGATGGTTGAGATGCAGAAACCCACCCTTGCCTACTTCGTGATTTTCTGGGCTTGGTCTTGCTGCAGCCAAACTCACATTTTCAGTTCACAAATGGAGATAAGACAATTAGGTGAACACACTGTGTTCCAGAGAAGATGATGAATTAAAGTATATTTGTTTTTATTATTCTTTATTTATGAAGAACATGAAGCACTTTGGTAAGATTAGATGTTAAGAGCTGTCCATCTGGCTCTGCCAAATATTAACTCAGGTTAATTGTAGGTTGCTCAATCTATCATCCATGTGATGGCTTCACATTTTCAAACAATGTACTAAATGGTTCCTCTAAGTTGATGTTATTCCCATGCTATATATCACATGGGATTTGCCATCTTAACTGCGAGAGCACGTGATGCTGTAAGTGACCCTGTGGCAAAAAGAGAAGCGCAGAGTGGGAAGGGTTCAGGTTGGGTCCTGATGATACTACATCCAGCTGTGATAATGAATTAAGTTAATCTGTGAGTATTTTCTTAACCATAGACTAGAAAACTCTTATTCCAAAGAAGTTGTTCTGACTTTTAAGCAGGGAATCCTATAAAAGGTAGACTATTAGAAACTCTCCTAAAGCAAAATATTTGCTTTATGTAAATAGCCTTCTCAAGGTAATAAATAATTAAGGAACCTCAAAATAAAATAATGTATGAAGCTCTGAATCCCTAACCAAAAAGATTTCCAAAGATTTACCATAGAAAATAATCCATCTTTAAGGAGAAATACTGAAAACATACTAACTGCCCTAAGTTCCAAAATCATAAGCAACAAGTAAGAGCAAGAATTAAAATGGAGAGTTCTGTGTTCAGGAGTTGCAAAGACCTGGGTACTCATTCTTTTCTCCCAGGCAAGTTGCTTAACCTCCCAGACTTTATATGTTCATCTGCAAAACAGGAATAACAGCACCTGCTCTGCCAGTTTGCACAGCAGTTGTGAGGATCAGATGCAGAGGGGGCTATGAAAGGGCAGTACCACCTGTACCACTGAGGCAATCCAGGTGTGCAAGGTACAATGAGGACTGGCCCAAGGGCTAACCTCAGACTATGCCTTACACTCTGTCTTCCTGCATCATTTCTGAAAGGTTATTTTTGAAGGTGGTAATTACAGAAAGTAAATTAGGGCTAAAGCAGGATGAGAACTTGCTTGAATGTTCTGTTGAAGAAAGAGAGATGGAAGGAGCAAAGGGCTCAGCACCTAAAACTCTGAGGATCACTCAATGTTAGAAGAAGAATGCAGACAGCATTCTTAAAATGGGTTAAGTGGAAGATGTAGGGGCAAATGAGGTAGGCACCCTGTCCTAGAACCTCTGGTTGGAGTGGGTTGAAGAGGGACCCGATAACTAGTGATTTTGTTGTCATCTTATGAGAGTATCTAAGTAGAAAACTGGTCTATGAAAATAGATGCCAGAAACCAGTTGTGCCTATCACTGGGTGGTGGGACCATTGGTGGAAATATGTGTGATTTTTATTCTTTTTGTTTGTCTATGTTTTCTAAGGTTTCCATGATGAGAATGTACTATTTCCATAATGAAAATGCTACTTCCGCAAAAAGTAAAAAAAGTATAGATTTTAGATTATATAGTATATGTAAAAAGAAACTAGATTTTTTTTTTAATTACTGGGCACTTTATTTTACAGGTAACTTCAACAGTGGAGGCTGCTTCTGGCTCCTCAGCATCGTTGATGGTAACCAGTCCTACAATTCTCATTAGGTGGGTCTGTTACCCCACTATTTCCCTTGGGGTCTGTTGTGCTAAGGACAGGATTGGTTGAGTAAAGGGGTGTGGCACAAATAACCCTCAAGAATACAGGCCACAGAGCTAATGAAGGGCCCCAAGGAAAGAAAGACCTGCCCGTCAGCAATGAATTCTCTCCCCCCATGCCACAGACCTGAGGGCACGTGACCCAGGAATGTGCATCCAAAGATAATACTACCTTCAGAGAACTCTACTTATAGGTAAGTAACTCTCCTTTATAGGAGGTATCTTTGTGTGGCAGACTGTTTATGCGAGCAATTTGAATTGAACTTTAAATGAAAAAGGCATATCTCTGTAAGTGGTAATAATTTTAGTCATCTCACTGTGGCTAGGGGTTGTGGAATTCATTAGCACAGATTAACATATAAAGTGAGTGAGATATCTAATAGCAAACGGAGAGGTTTAGGGGCCTTAATTCATCACTGAATGAACAGCGTGTACAGTATTAGGGACTATGAAATTTTTAATTTACACAAAGTGTCCAAGAATATAGGGAATAAATTTAAACCCAAAACAGATAATGGAGCTATGCCCTACCTGGCTGGCAAGTTGAATTGTTTTTACACTGAGTGAAGAAAGTTAATTATCCCAAGCACAAGGAGACTGCTAAAAATAATAAGATTATAAGGAATAATTTGCTGATATAATTACAACAAAATTGGGTACACACAATCGTCAGATACATGTATTGCTTGACCTGGGTGAGAAAGTGAAATAAATCCTTCTTCTATAGCCTTCGTAAATTTGTTTTTATCATCTCCAAGTGGTGTTTGCACAGGCAGCACAATTTGCATGTGTAATGTGGCTGTACAAATTGACAACAAGTAAATTATTCAAGGAAATAGGCTGGTCGCGGGTCTGAACTATCTCGCAAAGCCTATTCATTTTGAAGAATCACTGAGACGTGAAGCTCATACATCAACCGTTTTCTGACAATCCTCAGACTTATTGTCTCCTAAAATGTCATTATGGCTATTATTTATGAAGCTAATTCATTTATTAATATATATTTAACTCTGACTTGTCATGCACCTTAGCAGACATTCTGTGCACTGCATATTTTTGAATAGATGAAAGGCTTTTGCATGCTTTAATGATTACTGTAAGCTGCTATAGATTTATAGAATTCAGCTTTATTATCTACTTGCATTAATACCTTTTTATAAGTTTTTTTCTTAAGGCCATCAAATATAAATGGCAAATGACATATTCAAAAGATTGTGTGGAATAAGATTTTCTGAGAGTTTGTTGAATTTTAGAACAAAGTGGGTTATCTGTCAGTTAAGGCCTAATTCACCTAAAAAGATGGGTATATACCAATTATGTTGAATTTTCAAGCAAAATACAGGCTGTGGTTTTTCAAGAAAAAGGAAAAGATGCATGATTCATTGGCTCTTTCCTTGTGAGAAGAAAGGCCACTCTTTTATGTGCTGAAGTTGGACAACAGTTCCTGAGGAAGCTGAATTCTAGCTGTTTATTGTTTATTGTTATTGGATCTTGCACTATGCCCTTTATATTGTCATTAATCAATAAATATGTGTGGAGCAAATGATTAACTAGATGAATGATCTCCAGGTTTTTTGATAATACCATGAAGAAAATAGGTAGAATCAAACATCTACCTAGAATACTATTTTATATAGTTTTGCTTTCTGCTTTAACACTTCTAACCTCTAGAGAATGTTCTGTAACTCCCACTGATTTAAAAATAAGCCATATATGTATGCAATCAAAATACACAACACATGTTATTTTTACAGTCTGCATAATAATATATCAATACTAGACATATATTGCTACTTCTTATTGTCACTGGATAAATTCTGCTCAGTAAGTGTGACCTTGACTACTGTGTGTGTGTGTGTGTGCATGCACATATGTGTGTGAATGTGAGTGTGTGAGTGTCTGTGTGTTTATGTGTTGAGAGGGAGGGAGAAGAAACTGCAGAATAAAAAGGAAAGACAGTACAGTTGCCTCAGACATTCTGCTGTGAGTATGCTTCATGCTAACCATTCAAATATTCACCATATTTCTAACTTAAACATTTCTGCATTGGTGTAGGTGCAAATGTAAAACTCTTAACCAAGAAGAAGGGCAGCACAGGCAAACCTAACACTCCTGCCATTTAACTGTGGATTTGAAATTTTGGCAAACCAGATGCTTCATTTTAAAGATAAAAACTGTAAAAGACGAAAAATGCCATTATATACCTGAATATTATATGGAATATATTAGCTTTAATAAGGTCATGAAATCACCAAAACTTTGAGATAATTAAGATGTGTTGTTAAAATGCTGCTTTATCTATGAAGATAGAAAGTAGAATTAGCTGGGCATGGTGGTGCGCACCTGTAGTCCCAGCTACTAGGGAGGCTGAGGCAGGAGAATAGCTTGAAACCAGGAGGCAGAGGTTGCAGTGAGCTGAGACCATTCCACTGCACTCCAGTCCGAGCAACAGAGCAAGACCCTGTCTCAAAAAATAAAAAAAGTAAATTAGTGGTTGCCTAGGGCTGATGGGAAGTGACTGCTAATGGGCCATGGGAGTTATTTTGGGGGATGACAAAAATGTTTTAAAATTAGATGTTTGTGGTGATTATACAACTCTGTGAATAGATTAAAAACCACTGAATTGTGCATGTTAAATGTGTGAACTATAATGGTTTACCACTTATATCTCAATATGGCTGTTTAAAAAGCATTGCTTGATCTAAGCCAAATTAAGTTTACTATATATAACCAATGCCATGTACTACGAATAGTAACGTAAGAAATAATTTAAGAAACTAGCTTATGAATAAAACCAAGTTTAACTATAAGATAAATGATCTATCCGTAAAAGCATAGCAAGGAGGCCTGCTTTCCAGAAATTCAATCTTCAACAAGAATGGTATTCATGTTGCATGATCTGATGAGAGACAAAGTTCTTATTTCCCGAACACTGATCTAAGCCACCAAATGGAGTCAAGCAAAATCTTAAGTAAATGTAAAGGAAGATACAATTTTTTTTCTTTAGAATTACTGCATAAGAACAACAAAGCATCAAGAATCTATTTTTAAAAGTAATTTTCTTACATTAAGTTGTCTCTCAAAATGTCATATTAGATAATGGAAAGCAAACTACACATGTACACACAAAATGTCTTTCTAACTGTATCATCCTGGCAGGGAAGGCTGATGACATTTTTATTAGTAATATTAATCACATGCTCAAAGGGGAAAATGTCGCACTTTTTCAGGAACCATAATATTTACCTATTTACACCTTTTAAAATTTCAATAAGTCCAACTTAGAACCCTAACCCCCATAACCTTCAAAAAACAAGTAAAATGAAAATTAATAAATGTTCCCTAGAGTGCTATGAACCATTAATTGTACAGACTGAACAGCTTTACCCTAATAAGAAACATGCCTTCAGCAGAAATGTGAAAGTCACCTGATGCTTATGATTTAATGATAAAAATGTGCAGTCAATTTTCAATGATATTAAGACCTACAACCCTGGAATATTTTAACTACAAATTCTTGCATATACCTGAGGAACTTTGAAAGGTGAATAACCCAGAGTACTGAAACATTCTCAGCATGAATAAAGTAATTCATCTCTAAAGTGGTCTGAAGATAGAGGCAATAAACTTTCCAGTAATAGCAAATAATCAGAGATGGATTTGGCCTGACACTCCAAGAAAGCACAGGCGTTACATTAATCTGGCAACAAAATAATTATATCAGTAATTTTTTAGAGAAGAGGTATTATAATATTAGAAGTAAAGATATGTTAATAGCATCATTAATCATAAACCTCACATAAATTTTTAAAATCAGCTCAAGGTTTAGCAGTAAAAGCCCTAAGTATAATTCATTTATTCAAATAAATAAATACTTTTGTAATTCTCACTGTGAACGAAGACTGGAGTAGACATTCTGGCGCTAAAGTGTGCAGATTCCAGGGGATATCAAGATGAATTAAACACAGTCTTGTCTTTGAGGAACTTAAATGAGAGGAGTGTGATGTTTTTGCCAAAATTTCACCATTATTGTTTGAGTCACTTTACATTGATCAGCGTTTTACTTTTATAATCAGAACCAAGAGTGTGAAGATGATATTTTTAAAGGGATTTAAGTGCCATTGAGTGAACCGCCAAGTTTTATAGGTGTTCAGAAGAGAGATCCTTGTCAAGGAAAATTTTCAAGGAAGAATGAGCATGTGAGCTGCGCATAGAAAGATGGCTGGCTTAATGACAGACTGAGGCAATCCAGGTGGAAGATATCATGTCAACTAAAGCTAGAACATGAAATTAATGGAAAGAAATGTGGTATGGCTGCAGGTTAGGGTGCATGTAGAGCAGAAAAAGCTAGCATGTAATGTTGGGGCTCAATCATAGGAGGCCTACACTATCACACTCAGGAATTCAGATTTGGCTTGCCAGGTCATGTATGTAAGGTACTTAGCAAACAGTGCCACACGCATCAGGATACACGAGCCATTATCATTAGTGTTCAATGTCTCAGAAGAGGATGGAGGAGAGCAAAGGCTATAGATCTCCTGGGCAGCCAGTTCAGTGCCGTTCCGTCTATCACATGGGTAGGCTCCAGATGAGTTTGCCCCAACAGGTAGATCTGTACTGGGGTGTGACTCACTTTTAGATTGTCCCTGACTCATCATCTCCACCCAGCATTCATCACATCACTCAGTGGCATGCAGTGACACTCAAAGATCCTTCAATGCAAAGACCATGTCCTCTTCTGTATCTTTGTTCCCAAGGCTTTAGCACATATTAGGTGTTCAAGAAATGCTTGTTGAACCAACTCCCCATTTGATATGAATATCCCCAGACAAATAAATAAATTGGTACTGTGGCCTATGTGTCAGACCAGATGGCCTGTTCACTTGGTAATTGAATTTGTCATCAGTAATACTAATGATAGATAGTTTCTGGATATGCCAGGTTCCAAAATGAGGCATTGTCCTGAGAGACACTTGCTTGCAATCCTCTGGATATTGATATCCCCTCAGTTCTCCTTCTTTAACCCTGAACGACCACACCTACCCCCATAGTGATATTGTGGGTAAAATAAGGGTTTTCACGTGCCTAGCATGGTACCTAGCATACTAAAAATCACTAAGCATGCTCTTTTCCCTAAACAGAATTTCTGGCTTGTTCACCCATTGGTTATGACGTGCTAGAACGG